TCAGTTCAGTTCAACTCAGTTTATTAAATGTGAATAGGCCCTTAATTTAGATAAGTTAAAGCTAAATTTCTTTATCCTTTTGTTTCTCCGATTATTTAAAACAAAATATGTTACCACAAACAATTCCATTATTAATATATTTTAAACAAAATTATTTCAGGTAAAATAAGATTAGAATATAAGTCAAATTGAATAGTTGTTGTTCCTTTTTTCTTTAGTTTTATTTTTAAAAATGGATTTATACTTGAATTTGTAAAAAAAAAAATTGGAATCTAAAAATCCAACCTTTAGCCGGTCTGACAATAAAAATCCAACCTTTCACTAATCTAAAAAAAATCCAACCTTTTCCCCCCCACCTTCTCCAACAGATCCATTACCTGTTGATGGCCGTTTTTTGTAAGTTATGTGCCATGTGTCAGTTATTAATTGGTCAATTATTTTTTTAATCATTAAAAAACAAAAAAAAATATAACAGAAAAAAAACCACCAGCCACCTCCCCCAGCCCTCGCACCACCCCAGCCACCTCCCCCACTCCTCGACAACTTCCCCCCACCCCAACCAGCTTCACCATCGGGGTCGTCGGATTTCGGCGATCTCCCCACACCCCCCACCCCTTGCCGCAACCTCCCCAACCACCAAAACCCCTTACGATCTAAACCCTAACCACCACACCAAACACCCTATTCGACCCTCTCAAACCAGCCCGACCCCTCCTCACCGCCCACCGACCACAAACCGATAACCCCTGACCCGTTTCCACCCCTCCCCACCCTAAACCCGACCCAAATTAGCCTTTTAGCCGAGTTTCGTGGTTGGGGTTTTGGGGTGGTCGGGGTGGTTTAGCCGAGTTTCGTGGTTGGAGGAAAAGGGTTAAGTGCTGGTAGAGGTGGTGGTGGTGTAGAGAGGTGGAGGAGGAGGAAGAGGGTTTGGGTTGGGAGGGGTAAGTGGTGGCAGAAGTGGTGGTGGTGTAGAGAGGAGTGAGTGAGAAAAAAAAACTTTTTAACCAGTTTAACAAGTTAAAGGTCAAATGGACCTGTCAAAAAAGGTGAGGTACAAAGGTTGGATTTTTTTGAGATTAATAGAAGGTTGGATTTTTATTGTCAGACCGGCCATAGGTTGGATTTTTAGATTCCATTTTTCCAAAAAAAAAAAGTTAAAAATTTTCAATGTTGTTCGAGTTAATTTTAATTGTTAAGCTCAGTAGCTTCATATAATCCTGCCCATTTTTCCCGACCTTATTCGCAATTCCACAACTTACTAATTTAGTTCCACGAATAATATAAATCCTATTAATATCTTCAAATGATTTGATATACACAAAATTATTATAACCTATGAGATGTGATAATAGAATAAAATCCGACTATTTCACCAAATGCCACGGAGTAATTTAAAAATTCACCAAATGCCATCGGACTTTTCAGAATTCACTAAATGCCACCCAGTTTTTTAAAAATTCACCGAGTGCCATTATGACCAACGACCGTTAACTCCGTTAGTCATTAAGGGTTAATCATGACACATGTCATGATATAATTGGTCAATTTATCTTAATTAATAAAAATTAAAAAAAAAAACAAAAAATAAAAAAAAAACCCAAAATTTTCCCAGCCACCCCCACCACTGCCAAACCCTAGCCCCACCCTTATCTCGCCGGGAAACGGCCGGCCACCACCTTAACCACCAAAAATCAGCCGGGCGACCCTTTAGCGCCCCACCTGACCCACCGCCGACCCCCCAAAACCATCCACGTTGCCCGCCCTGACCCCAAACACCACCTCCACAGTCACCCCGACCCCAAAAACCACCAATAAACCAAAATTTCCCAGCCACCTATCCAAAAACCACCAATTTTCCGGTCAATCGACGGAAAATCGAACCCTAATTCCCAAATTCAACCTCCATTTTCACCCAGATCTCGATGATTAATTGGGAATGGCTTCTTCGGAAGGCGATTCCCGGCTGAAACAAGTTCTGGTGCCTTCTCTTGAGAAGATCATCAAAAATGGTTCATGGTGGAATAATTTGAAGCTTGTTCATGAGTGCAAATCTCTTCTTGAGAAGCTCAATTCCTCTCAACTCCATTCTTTATCCTCTTCTCCTGAATCGCCGTCTTCCGCCATTGTTACAGCTGGTCCGATTGTTGATAGTGGGACCCACGAGTATTCTCTAGAAGATTCCGAGCTCATTCTCTCTCCTTTCATCAAAGCTGCTTCTTCTTCGAACCCTAATATCGCAGATGCTGGAATCTCTTGTTTGCAGAAGCTAATCTCACATGGGTATCTTCGAGGTGAGGCAGATTCAACTGGGTCGAATCCTGAGTCGAAGTTGCTTTTCCCGAGTCATTGATTCTGTTTGTAAGTGAATTTGGGAATTAGGGCCCAGCGGATCCATTGTTTATGCGGCAGTGCGATGGAGCTGAAAAACATAAGCCCCTTTTTTTGCGCAACGCAATAAAGAAGTCTAACAGTTTCTCTCGGCATCTGTCTTTTCTTTTTTATTTTTAGTCATTGATCTTATATCTAAAAGAAGGGGGGTCTGCGTTCACTATTAAGCCTACTACGCTCGTCCATTCCTTTCAATCAAGATTGAACCTCACTTCGATCGCCTTACGCTGTTCGACTGAACTCGTTGGCTTTGCGTTTGGTCGGAACCCGATTCGAGAACTTTCTTTCATTCACTAAGTCATCGCCAGCAATCAGCTCTTATCCTTTGGCCTCAAAGGGCCAATTTTCCGGCGATTGATCAGAAATTTGGTGGTTGTTGGATAGGTGGCTGGGAATTTTTGGTTTTTTTTTTTAATTTTTTTTTGTTTTTTTTTTAATTTTTATTAATTAAGATAAATTGACCAACTATATCATGACATGTGTCATGATTAACCCTTAATGACTAACGGAGTTAACGGCCGTTGGTCATAATGGCACTCGGTGAATTTTTAAAAAACCGGGTGGCATTTGGTGAATTCTGAAAAGTCCGATGGCATTTAGTGAATTTTTAAATTACTCAGTGGCATTTGGTGAAAATAGCCGAATAAAACCTAAGTTGAAAGGATTGAGTAAATTGTCGTTTTTTTAAAAAAAAAAAAAAAAAAATCATTATTGTGCACTCATTAAAAACATGTTATACTACGTATATTGCCAATATAAATTAACCTCTCGTAAATTTTTATACTCGCACTTTTCATTCACATATGTTCAAGACTAATTGGATTTATTTTTTTCACACAAAGAAACTCAAATCACTTGGGTTAAATATTAAATGTATTTTTTTTTAATCTTGTAATAATTGAAGCTTGGTATGTAGAGTGCACATAGCCACATATACATACGTAGTACGGTAGTATACAATTTATCTATAGACTACGAGTTGTACATTTGTATTACTAACTTGTATGGAGTAACAACTAAGGGCCTGTTCTCATACGTTGAAATCCAGTTCAGTTCAGTTTAACTCCTAATTTCCTTCTCTTATAAATTATTCATTTCAGTTCAGTTTAGTTGAGTTCAGTCAATGAGAACATGCCCTAAGGCCTTGTTTGATTCACTTTATTTTTGCTTATCTGAATTGTTCTGGTCTGATCTGATTGTCTGATTTGACCAAACATTGACCTTAAATGTACAATAATCTATAAGGAAAAAAATATATCAAGTGGAGTCTTGTTAAATTCGTAATAGTGTATATTTTATTAATATGTAATTTTCATAATTTTTTTCATTACGGAATTAAAGGTAATTAGCAAACAAAAAAAAAAATTGCACATAAAAAGATGATATGATTTGATTTTTTTTTTAAATAAGTAAAAATAAGGTGAACTAAACAAGACTTGACAAGAATTAGGGTCTGTTCACATATACTGAACTGAACTAAACTGATTGGAACTGAACTGGACTGTATTGAAATGAACTGAGTTGACCTGAAATGAATAGTTTATGAGAGAGGGAAATTAGGAGCTAAACTTAGCTGATTGGACCTGAACTGAACTGAAGTGAAATTAAGCTGAAGTGAACATGCCCTTAGTCTTTGATAGTATGCTAAAAAGGGGTAAATACAAGTTGATCTTTGAGATTAACAAATTTTGTATATCACATGACATTTTTGTAAATTAATCAATAACTTTTACCTTAAAAAAAGGCCTACAATGATAATAGCCGGATAAAATTGTTGATTTATTTATAAAAATACCATGTGATAAACAATTTTGTTTATCCCAAAGATTAACTTGGGATTCCTCAAAAAAAATAATTTCCATGACCAATATAAGGTATTTGTAGACCAAACTAAGCAAGCGACAATTTTGGGGTGGGGATTCCCTTACCCATCCCCCCACTTTCAAATTGTTTAGCCCGCTAATCCGGGTCGGTTTGAACCTGTGAGAGGTTCCGATCCGATAGGACCCTTCTTCTTACCGTAAAAAAAAAAAGAGTATTTGTAGAAATACAAGTGATTACTTCTTTTCTTACAAGAAGTAGAGTTCTTAAAATAAAATTAAGTAAATTTTCATCATATCTTTTCTTGTGAGAGTTTTTAATTTATATTGAGTACATATTTTCAATAAAATGAGACAAATATTTTCTAACAATAGCTTTTATAGAGTATAGGATAATTAAGATACAGGGTACAGAGTATCATATATTCATATACAATACATTTTTTTCCCTAGACTATATACATGAATTTTTAATTAATATTGAGTACCAATTAATTATAAAATCAGTAATTGATTTTTGTCATAATCAATTACTACTATTTAAAGTTCTTTACTTGTGGATCCGCTTTATATTTATCCTTATCTCTCAAGAAATGTCCTTTTGCGTTGGCAACCTAATTTAACTTTACCAAAAATTATTTTATTTTTATTTCCGGACACCAACCCATTTCCTTAACTAAAACGCATATCTCTTTCTTTATTTTATGCCAAATTAATATAATATTTATTTTACATTTATAATGATCAATATGCAATAATTAATATATTTCCTTTTATTTATTTTATTAATTAATAATCACAATTCCGACAATATTTTTTTTTTAAAACAATGTCTTTTAATCTCTCACCAATAAAACCCAGTTTACCTCAACCAAAATTAGACCTAATTATTTCATCATACCAAAAATTCCCAAATATTTCTTCTTCCCCTTCTTCAAAATACCCAAAATTATTTTCCAAATTTTTTCTGGAAAATAAAAATAAAAATACACTCAGCTCCTTTCAGACCTTGCTTCTTTACTCTTTAATGGTGGAAATTAAACCCATGTTTTATTTCCATAAATCCATTTTTTTAATTACTAAACAAGCTTAGCTTCTACTCAAATCAAACAATTTACAACCCACCTTTTGCCTTTTCAATTTTTTATTTTTTTGGTAGAGCTGGGTTTTATTTCTAATTTGCTGAAAAAATTCAAAAAAAAAAAAAAAACTTAATGGGCAGTTCTTAAAAAAGGAAATAAAAAATTTCTTCAAATTCATTTTTCAAAATTAATTTTCTGTAAAAAAATTAGTAAATGAAATGGAAGCAAAGGAAGGAGGAAGTAATAGTGGAGTAACAGTAGTGGGGTCAGATGCTCCAACAGATTATCAAATAGCTCCTAGGATTGAAAATAACTCCGGCGATACTCCGGTCGCCGGATCATCGCCGTCTCCGGTGGCGCTGACGGAGGTGCATCCGGGGTCGAAGAAGAAAAGAGGAAGACCAAGAAAATATGTACCTGATGGTGCTGTAACAGTCGCTCTTTCAGCAAAACCCATATCAACTTCAGCCCCGGCCTCGGCTGCCGCCAACGTTATCGATTTCTCAGCCGAGAAGCGACCAGTGAGCAAAGCGCCGAAGGCGAAAGCCGCCTCGGCTAATGTCAAGCAACACCAGCACACTCAAGCAGCTCAGCCTAAGTTTGAGTCTGAGAATAGTGGTATGTATGAGTTAGATAAACTGTTGATGTTGAAAAATAAGTTTATTTTTTATTTTTGAAGTTAATTTTGTTTTATTTGGATGATGGGTTTGTAATTATGCATGTGATGGAGTGAGTAGTGTTTCTGACTTTTTGAGCTGGAGGGTTTTGATATTTTGTGGGGGAGGTCATATGATTTATTAGATCTGAATTTTGTGGTAGGATTAGTACATGTGGTGTCCTGGATTTTTGCGAGAAAATGTTTGGTTGACCGTGATAGGCCGATTTCATAACAGGTTAATCGCGGTGTGAGGGTCACTAACTCTTGAAATCGATGTATCAAATTCCGGTTTTGTGGGATTGATGAGGGTTTTTATGAAATTTTTGAGATGGGTTATGTTATTGGGTGGGAATGAATTGAAGTGGGACCTCTGTATATATGCACCCTAAATAAGATCTTTAAGGGGGGGTGGTGGGTTTAAATGGGTCAACCGGAAAGGAAGCGTTAGTGACCTTTTTAGTTGGACTGAGGGTAGTTAGTTGTCCTAGGTTTGGAATCTTCCAGAAGATATAGATGAGATTGTAGGACGTGTGTATGTGGGTGAGAACTTTAATGTTGGAGAAGAATAAAAAGAGGTGTTAGTGTTGTGGGAAGGTTACTTGCAATGATTGGTTTGATAAAGTCTAAGTTTGCTGATTCTGCATAAAACCTAAACTTAGTCAGGTGACCTGTCTATGCACAGATGGTTGATTTATAAAGAAGGGGGGGTAGCAGAGGTTGTTTTCAGATTTTTGAATGGTTTCTTTCTGGATATGTAGCTTAGTTTATCGGTATGTATGACCTTTATTGGGTGTCTTATCTTCGCTTTGCCTTTGCCACTTGGTATGACGGTATGAATGGGGTGGTGAATATACTGTTTGTGCATTTCTTTTTGTTGCTTGCTGTTGTGTGTTTCCGTATGCCTTAGGCTGTTGTTTAGCCCCACGTCGCCTTTAGAGCTTCGTGGTTATAGGTATCTAAATTATCCTGTTCTTTGCTTGTTTGTACACTTGGTATGATGTGACGGACTTTGGATAACCGGGTGAAAGAATTTATTTGAGAGATGAAAGGAACCACATACTTACAATTTGCAAAATGGTTATTGTAAGTTTTTGTAATCTTTATATGTATGGGTCTTGTGGGTTGGACTGATTGTTCATTTCGAGAATCACAATAAGGTATCCTTCTTTCATTTTTTTTAATTAAGGGGAGGGGAGCAGGCTATGGTGGACACGACTTTTTTGTTTGGATAAAAAGTTGAGGTGCTTAGAAACTGTGATAGTTGACTGAAGAGCATCTGAGCTAATTGATAAGTGCTGGTTGCCCTGTTTACTTTGAGAGGTGCTTAAGGATTTACAAGTTTAATAAAAGTAAATGTTTTTGGTTGCAGGTGAATGGGTATCTTGCTCAGTTGGTGCTAATTTCACACCTCATATCATTACAGTCAATGCTGGTGAGGTGAGTAATAGAAGATCATGCTATTATGCTGTAATGCTTTCTTTTGTAGTTGTGCTTTATCCATTTGATCTGGCTTAGCAGCCTCACTGCCAGAGTACAAATTTTAATCAATTAGCACCAAACTAAAATATCTGAAGTTAGTTGCAACCCCAGCTTTACTGTTTGACAACTGTCCACATCTTTTTAATAAAAGAGGAAAGAGACGAGTTGACACTTGTCAAAGTGTGGTGAGGGTGCACATAGCTCCTTTCTCTGGTTAATTATCAAATATTCTTTATGTTGTGGTCCTTAAGTATCACTAGGAAGCATGAAAAGAATGATATTAGGCATATGAATCATTTTTTTTAGTTTTCTGTGGCTAAGGTGGTGGTGGTGGTTGGAGGTAACGATGCATTGTGCTGATCAGTTTTGTTAAGGCTTAAACTACATATACCTTTTTGAAGTGTTAAAAGTACCACTACTACAACAATGCTTACTTGTGACTTACCTGAAAAAACACTTTCTACTTCAGCATCATGTAGATAGTGCTGGCTTTGCAAAGTTTGAACAAGCTCTATTTTGGCTTGTGTAGACTCTCATTTACCTAGATTAAAGATATGAAAGTGAACTGTGTGCACCATTTTTTTATGTCACTTGTGTTACTAACACTACGTGTCTCTGATTGTTTCAGGATGTTACTATGAAGGTTATATCATTTTCTCAGCAAGGTCCTCGAGCTATATGTATTTTATCTGCAATTGGCGTAATTTCCAGTGTAACACTTCGGCAGCCTGACTCTTCTGGTGGTACATTGACATATGAGGTGCTACATCTATATCCATAACTGTAAATTTATGCAAAGAGATTCTACTATTTCCTTTTCAATGATCTGGCAACATCTAATGTCACATGCTACTTTTGAAGCTTTTCCCAAATCACTTTTAGTCTTTTACAATGCATATTTTATTGTATGTATTATACATGTAGTGATCTCTCACTCTTTATCTGTCTGTTTTGTAAAATGTTTTGTTCAGCAACTTTGCCTAAAATATTTGCGCACCTCAACAAAATGAATCTTTCTGGTCATGATATTATGCCAACTGTTCTGTTCTGAGCTTCGGCTTATTAAAAAAACCTTTAAAAGCTTAGTCAAAGCTCAAAAGGGCTAGCCACTTTGTCAAAGCTCAAAAGGATTGCTAGCCAAATATATGTGGCGAACGTCACTCCTTGTAAAGCGAAAAATGAATCAAGGCTCATTTTTAATGTTCTATGTTATGTTCTTTCTGAATTTAGTTCATGTTATTTTCTTTCTGAATTTAGTTCATGTTCTTCTCCTAGTTCATGCCTTGTATACTGGATCATTATCTGCTATTAAGAAAAACTCATAGCATTCTCTTAAATTTTTAAAACCTTAAATGATAAAATCTTATAATAGTTCAGCTATACACTTTTTCCTCACAGCAAATAATGATCCACTGTACTAGCAATCAATTGATGATGCTAATTAATTGCATGATTACTTTATGGACTATTGTTATCCTAAATTTACTGTGAAGTATATAAATTGATATTCCAAAGGATCTCAGCATGTCAACTTTATTACATGCTGGAACTTTATACTCCTGGGCCAACTCTTGAAGACTTTTTGTTACCTTTTGTGTCTCAACAGGGCCGTTTTGAGATACTTTCTTTAACTGGCTCGTTCATGCCTTCTGAGAGTGGTGGGATAAGGAACAGATCAGGAGGGATGAGTGTTTCGTTGGCAAGCCCAGATGGTCGTGTTGTAGGTGGTGGTGTAGCTGGTTTGCTCGTTGCTGCTAGTCCTGTGCAGGTATTTTCCATCCTTATCTTCCTTCATATGAAGTATATACTTTTTCAATATTACATATGTTGCTTCAGCAACTTTGCCAATATAATAGACATACATAGGGAGCAGAGGTTATTAGTGATCGACACCTAAATAAAGTTCGGAAACGTGAGTTCTTGCACAATTCAGCCTGGTAATGCCAAATGATGTTATTTTGTTACGCTAAACAAGCTTACGTTACTGCTATCCAATATTTTTATTTTCATAATCATCACGGTCACCACCAAGTTCATCATCCAATCCACCTTCGTACTTCCATGTTCCACATCTACATTACCTCCAGTTCTTTTCTTTTGGCTAGGGTTTGCATTTATATTGTCTCCTTTAGAGGATCCTACCATTATTTGGGCCACTACTAACCAGCAGTATCTTCAAATTATTTTCTGTTGCCTTCAGATTGTGGTAGGAAGTTTCTTAGCTGGAAACCAGCACGAACAGAAGCCAAAGAAACAAAAATCAGAGTACATAATCAGCGGTCCACCAGCTTCTACCGTACACTTTTCGAATACAGGAATGCAGGACAATTACGGGGGCCAAGGTTACCACACTTCAGGTACCACATACTCGTCTTACCAAGGAGACAATAGGAATGGATCAGCTGATCACAATGAATCTATGCACGACGGTTAAACTTAGAAGCCAAGAACAGGAAACCTAGATGATTGGCAACAATGAGATGCTACTAATTACTACTGGCCATATATAAATTATTGTGACTGCCCGAAATCATCTCTTCTGTTTGTCACATCTTGTATAACCTTGTGTGATATTCACACTTGCAATTCACGACGGCGGTTTGTTAATCCTTGATTATGTAGGAATTTAGTGTTAGCTTAACTTAATAGATAGGTATTTTCTACAGGTGTTTATTTATGTAGAATAAACTTGTGTTCATACGACTTTACGACATCAAATTTCTTAGCAAAATGGTTATTGGTCTTCGTTAGTGTATTATCATTCTCTTAAAACTAATCTTTTGGAAAGTCAATTGAAGTGATTTATCACATGGGCGTTTGATGGAAAATTACAACGACTCTTTTGTACTCAAGGATTCTGTTTGGTATTAATACAGAGTACTTCGTTTATGTTTACCTGATATTATTGTAATTTTGTACTGTACTATTTTCTTAGTTGTTCTAGTTAGGTTGTTCATATTTGTCATCTACACTTAATAACATTAACTGTCAATCAGTGAAAATTGTAAAATATTACTCGTATATTTTGACACATCATATTGTATTTAATAAGATCCAATAGGAATATGATTTCTTTTTATATATTAATAACTCATAATGATCAAAGTGAACAAAAGTATGTAATATTGTGTATAGTGTCAAAGTGACGATTACTCCGTAAGTTAAAGGTCAATATGGTATGACTATACAAGTGAATAAACAATATATATATAAATTTTGCCGAGTTTTTAGAGAGCCACATAGGATATAATTTTCTTAGTGTGCTATCTAGGATTATAAATTTTAGTAGTAACCAATTAAATAGGAGATTATTAAAATCTTTTATAATTAAATAATTAAAATGCCATGTAAGCAAAATTGACAAATGAGATACTAAAGTTTAAATTAATTAAATATAAAATATTATCTTTTGAGATTAGGAATTTTATCTAATATTTTAAAGCTAATATAATAACAAAAATCACATAATGTATGAAAAATATTTTTTTAAAAAAATACTAACAAATCGTGCATCGCACGGGTTTCATCTAGTAGAGGTATAAATTAGTACTTCCTCTGTACTTTTTTACTTGACCTGTTTCTTTTCATACTTGTCAATGCAAAACTTCAACGATTAATAACTTTAATTCTCCATAATTAAAAATTATAAAAGTTATATATTATGATAGTACTTCTTGAAACGAATTCAAAAATATCTAACATGAATATATTTTTCCTTACAAATTATTCACAAAAGACGGTCAAAGAAGGAGCGGTGAATAGTATAAAAGTTAAAGCGGGTCAAGTAAAAAAAGAACTGAGGAAGGAATTATGTAACTTTCATAACTCCAAAAGGACCAAAACCATTCTTAATGTATATTAATCCAAAGTGTACCACTACCATCAAGATTCCAACTTTCCAAGCAGCGTATTCGTAGTTTGTTTATAGTTTTCCAGTTTTAAATTGGCGTTTAGGTGAAATCTGAACGGTGACTTGTTAACCGGTAATATAAAATCCATAGTGATAACTCCACTTTGAGAATGCGATAACTAATCAAAATCATTAGTGGTAGCCGGGTAGGGGTGAAATGTTGATTTTTAATTTGTGTTTTGCTCATGTAATCAAGTATGATTCAATATAAAATAAAATCCGACCTTTGGATTTTGAGTCTATACAAACTAAATTTTCTTCAAATTTAATCAAGAGCTACGTAGATTTGATCCAATCCAAAAAATAATATTAATTAAATCACCAAAACTCTGTTCTTAGGGCCTGTTCACTTCAACTTAATTTCAGTTTAGTTCAGTTCATTTCAGCTCCAATCAATTCACTTCAGCTCTTAATTTCCTTCTCTCATATAATATTCAATTTAGCTCCTTTATCAATTAAATTTAGCTCAGTTTAGTTCAGTAAAGTAAATGTGAACGTGCCTTTAGTTGCCTATAAACTTCAAATTTCTCTTGTAAAATACTATACTTATAAATATAAATTGAACCCTTATAAGCCCAAATAAGGCATGCATCCGATTTGATTTAGATATTGAATTAAATTTGGGCTGCAATTCTATCTTAAATATGGAGTGAAATACCCTTTTTCTTTAAGTTTTTTTGTTTTGTTTTACGTTTTGTTTTATTCTCTCCATTTGTGAGAGTCAGTCCAAATTTTCTGGTTTTTTCCCAATTTTCTGGGATTTTGATTCTCATTCATGGACGAGAATTTTATTTTTAGAGTTCGTATAATAATTGGGAAGGTGATTGGACTCCTATGGGTCTGGAATTTGTCACAACTGGTTGATTAAAATATCAGCGTGGATTGCGAAGGTCTCAACTTGGAAAGATGCAAAGACATCGAAAATCATTGCTCGCGTTAAGCTTGAAGCGGTGGAGTATGAGCTATGCCAAATATATATGCAAATTTGTTATGATTTTAATTGTAAAAGTAATGATATTTTCTCTAAATCTGTGATTTACAGATCTTTATTATTGTAGATGCCGTAGAGCTATTATTTAATTATATTATTACTTCCTGTTTAAAAAAAATAAAATAAAAAAGTCTCTCTTAAATATGTACTAACATATGTATGTATGATACAAAAGTATCAATAGTTTTGTTGGTATTTTAGACTTTATATTGGTACAATTATAATATCAATATGAGATCTTAAAACACTACTCCGTAATGGAAACTTGTTATTGTCATTAATGATAAGAGTAATTATTGATTCAAACAACCTCAAATTAGAGAGTTTCCACCCTTAGAGAAACCCAAACGGGATTTAATAGCACGAGATTCAAGTTAAGAGATCAAGTATTTCTCTTTTTTTTTTTTTTTTTTTTTTTTTTTTTTTTTTTTGTGTGTGTGGAGAAAGTCCTACTTAGTTCTCAATTTATGCTATATGGCTTGAAGTCCAACCATGAAAGAAACAAACATCTTCAAATACACAATTCCAAATGCATTAATAATAACTATTGTTATAAAAATAACAAGTTTAGGCATGTTTATAAGTGATCCTTATAGGATCCACCTAGATGAAATCATAGATTATCAATACGAACATATGTGTACGTAATATTCCATGTCCACATAATAATAATAGAACTAGAGGAAGGTAGGCATGCTACGAGTGAGCTTGGGCGTCAAGGAGCTTGGGCCGGCATCTTTACATCATCAATTCATAAGTCGTCACTTTGCGACTTTTGTGCCACATTTCTGCTTTTCTTCGAAATTCCACTATTACTACTTCGCTCCGCAAGTATCGGACATTCGGACATCAACTATACTATCACCCTACAAAAATATCTTACGTTACCCTTTATTAGTTTTAAATTTCTTTTTGAACTTTTCACAATGATGAAGTCAAGATCAACTTTTCAATATTACTTTATTAAGATGTTGAATGCAAACAATTTCAAGATGTATACTATTGATTCCTATTAACGACATTTTGAAAGTAAGAATTTCTTTAATCTCTATCTCGTAAGAATTTCTTTAATCTCTATCTCTTTTTAGAGATCATACTCCCTAACTTGAGTTATATTGACTTATGTGTGTGAGGATTTAGTTCAATAATATACCTACTTCTTACAAAGAAAAATGCATTACTTTGATCACTAATATCAATGTTCATATATGTGCTACTCCCTCCGTTTTTAAATACTTGCTCCATTTCTCTATGCGCGGGGTTTTAGGAGAAATTGGAGAAAATAATAATATATGGAGGTAGTGGGGGTAAGTGGAAGAATAAAAAATTGTAAAAAACAAAAGTAGTGGAGAGGATTGGAGAAGATAAAATATGTGGTGGGCCCACTAGGTGAGAGAAATTAGTTAAATATTATAAAAACTTTTCAAATAAGAAAATGGAACAAGTATTTAAAAACGGCCGAAATAGGAAAGTGGAGCAAGTATTTAAAAACGGAGGGAGTATATATTAGCAAGTAACTCATAACGACAACAACTACTCCCTCTGTCATAATATTGTTTTTAACCTTAAAAAATCTTTAATTTCATATTTGATTACAAGAAGGTATGTTAGAAGTTCAAGAAAAATATGTTAAGCCCTTTAAAATTAAAATGTCAAACATAAGCCCTACATTCAATTAATTTATACCCCTTGATTACCTTAATTAGTACTCCACGTATAACAAAGTAGAATATTCATTACATACGTATAAAGTTAGGGGCCGTTTGGTTCGCACGAGGGAATCAGAATGGAATGAATAAAGGGAAAGGAGAAGAATGGAATGAAAATACCTAAAATTTGTCATGTTGTTTGTTTTAAAACAAAGGGAAACACTCCCTCTAGTCCCACCACCACACAACCACCACACAACCACCACACAACCACCAGTAACATTCACTCTCCAACGTTCCCACCACCAAACCAATCGTTACACTTCCCACACTGTTCGCCGCCCTTCGCCAGCATTCCCCCGTCCCTCGTCGACCCAACGGAGGTCGTCCCTCCTCCGAAAATCTCCTTAGCCCATAAAAACCCTAACGCCGCTAGAACTGCTGAAAAACCTCACCACTCCCCGTGAAATACGTCGAACGGCCTTCCCCCACCCTTGAAACCCTAGTGCCTAGGGTTTCGAGGGTGGGGGAGGGCCGTTCGATGGATTTCAGTGATGAGGGTTGGTTTTTTAGGATTTTCGATGGTCGTGGGGACTCGGGGAAGGGGCGGCGTCGGTCAGGGAAGGGGCGGCGACGGTCGGGGAAGAGGGGGAGAAGGTCGGTGAAGCCGTGGAGGTGCGACTAGGTGGTGAAGGTAAGGAAAAGGGTGGTGGCTAGGTGTGGGTGTGGTGGTGGAGGGGTGGCTAAGGAAAGGGAATGGAAAAGTCTAGGGGGGTGGGGAATGAAGTTAGAAGGATTTGGGGTAATGGGGAGGGTAAAGGGAATGAAAAAATGTGCTTAACAAACAATAACAAAGGGAATCGGGCCAGTTGATTCCCATTCCCTTTGTTGATTACCCCCAACCAAACGGACCCTTATAATCTAATACTGTTGAATCATAAACTAATCCGAACAATAATATCCATTAATGAATAAAGTTTGTCGGTAACTACCAAGCACATTCCTATGCTATTAATTTCCACGAAAATTAACTTGATTATATAATTCAATAACAAACATTCTCTTATATAGTTATATTAGCATGGGCCCCTCTTTAACTAGCATAAAACCTTGGAAGTTAAGCATATACTTCTGTATCATGTATTGTTGTAATTTTTCTTGCAACTTAGAATAAAGATATGAAGATTAGTGTTAGAATTTCTATCTTCTTACTTTTGCCTCTCCTTTTAGCTACCATTATTTTCTTAATAACAACCAACTTTTTGTCTCCAATAATACACCAAGATCTTCTCAAAAAACAATTTTCCACTAATCTTTTTCTTCATTTGGTTTTCAACTTCATACTTATTGCTATTATTCTCAAGGAATGCTACATACAATCGTGCAACAAACATGATACGTCGTTCTCTCCTCTTATTTGCTTTGATTATGAGATGGAGGAAGAGCATGGTGAAAAGAAGAACAACGACGATGATGAAGACTTATGTGACGTCTACATGGTTGACAAGGAAGGTGGTGATAATCACCTCCACAAGGGTAATGATTATTATGATGATGACGATTATTATTATCATGGCTCAGATGGTTACGATGAGGATGATGATGACAATGGAAGTGATGGTGAGGTAGGATGGGATGAGGATGATGAAGAAGAAGAATACGATTATGATTTAGAGAGGAGAATCGAGGCGTTCATTGCCAAGGTTATCAATGGATGGAAGGAAGAATGGTTTAGTGACAACCTTAATGACTAATGCATCTCATCGTAAAGATTTTCTTTCTTTTCCTTTTTTTTTTTTTTTTTTTTTTAATTTTTTTTCCTTTTTTATTTATTTAGAAAAGCTAGGATAATAATGTTTGCTATATATGTATAAATTAAAGAAAGTAGGATTTTCTTTGGGTAAGATCAAGTAGGGCATCCTAAGGAAGTAAGGGAGGTCCTTATTAAGAATGTGGTCAATAATGAGACTCGAACCTTAGCCTCGTGCTTGTACAAAGAAGCTAATTAGGTTACTAGGAAGTTCTTTTTTTATCACTTCCTATCTAGTGTGGTGGGTGACACTGTAAGTATTTTTATTTAACAACTCGTGTAATTATACTATCTGGTCTATAATCTCTATTGTATTTGGTGTATTCAAAATGTACCTTTGTATATTGTTTATCATGAATTTGTGATGAAAATCAAGGATGTAGCTCTCTTCATTAAATGTTGATTGTTAATACATAATGCTATAATGCAACTCTCTAAAGTTATTTCCTAGGTTTTCATCACCTCGTTGAAATATTAAGAGAGAGATTTGATGTTTGATTTGTTGGGTAAATGATGTTGCAAATTACGGACTATAGTCTTTGTTGATTGGATCTTTTGGACCACTTAAAATGGGCCACTATGAGAATCCATTTATCGGAAGCCCAACTTAATTAAACTACAGAAGAACAAAATCACACTTTTTATTTTCCTAATCGATTCTCACCATCCATTCTTCATTCTTGTAAATTTGTAATAAACCTATAAAAATTCTACTCTATACATACAACACAAATTCTTAAATGAACCTAGTTCACACTAATTTATTGTGGACCACTAATATTAGAGAAAATATGGTTGTTTTATTAATAAAAATAAAAAAGTCACTATAATAAAAATAAGGTCACTATATTGAAATAAAAGTCATTTTGGTAATATATAAGCTATAAGAGGTTAATTTTTTTAATGAAATATTTTATATACGGGTCAATATGAATAATAAAGGTTAGTATGTCAAATTTAGGGTCATAACGTCGTATTTAAGTTCAGAATAATATTAAACGTTATACAAGTTTTAAAAAGGTTACTATGTTAAAATTAGGTTACTATGTTAAAATTAAGGGTCACTATGTTCAATATAATGTTCGTTGTGTGTATATAAATCTCTGGTCCACAATAATATTATTGTGGACAGGTCCACGCAAGTCTTTCCGTCCAATGCACGTTCATACATTCCCTCATGTTAGTTTAGGTGAACTACTACGAGAGGGGGGGTGAATGGTAGTAGGTTCCAATCGCGGAACTTATGCGAAAATAAACAATAAAAACATAAAGAAACTTAAAGCACAGAACAAGTTTTACGAGGAAACCATCCAGTGCCTAACTGGAAGTAAAACCTCGGCCCTATTGCGACTTATAAACAAATTCCACTATAATAGGCAACTCTCCTAGTACAACCTATTACACAGACCTTTGCTTCGCAAGTTCCTCCTAAGACACTTGCTGATTGATAAGAACCTATCCTATCAGACCTAAGACACACTCAGGCACCTTTTTCGACCCAAGACACACTCAGGTTCCTTTCTCGACCTAAGACACACTCAGGTTCCTTTTTCCCACTGTGCAACCCAAGACACACTCGGGGTGACTGACTACCACTCAAATTTTAGAGAATTCAAACTCATACCTCAAACGTGAATTTAAGAGAATTCACAATCTCACCCCAAAACCAATTACAACACAAAGACACATTCTAACACATAAATGGAAAGCTACACATGAAACCCGAAATCAAAATGATAAAGCTTAAATCTTTGGCAAACTTACTCTTAAGCACTAAGTGGTTTTCACGCTTAAAACTCTCACTTTGCTTCACTGAATTTCTTCTATATTTATAGAGGTCTTCCAGCTCACAAAGTAAGGTTTTCGTAAACAAGATAAGTTAAAATGAAATCTAATCTTATCTCTTTAAAAACCGAAACCAAACAGATTTAATTCCGTTTTATTTAAAAACCAAATCTTATCAAATTCGTTTTAATTAAAAGATAGGTTTTTATGAAAAAGATAAAACCAAGTTAAATCAGATTTTATAAGATAAAATCAATTAAGTACTTTTTCATAAAACTAAAGTTATCTTTTACGAATTAATTAGTTTGCCAAACTTTATTTGATTTCTAATAAGTTCCATGCATATCTATCATTTATATATTTACATCATCCTACGAAAACAAACTTATCTTTTACACAACTATAAGTTATGAAGTCCATCTTCTTCAGTTGATATCTTGATCTTTGCATTGATCCTTGGTTATTGAGGCTTGCCCCAGCATTACACCGGAACCAGATCGTTACAACCCGTTTTGAAGTTCCTATTGAGAAACTTCGGGAAGTTCCATTGCTAGAACTCTTCTTCTGTCTTTTATTTGTCCTCATGGATCTTCTAAAGTTCCTTTGTCCCAGTTCCTACTTCAGCCCTCTATGCTTACTGAACCTGCCAACATCACAACACTAGAAAATCCTTATTAAAAGGAAGTTTGCTCAATTCTTAACATAATCATCAAAACCTCATAAGGGTCAACAATTTCCCCCTTTTTGATGATGACAAACTGAGCAAACTTCTGAGAATGATAAGTAAAGAAACAGAAGGTTAATTTTTCATTTTTCAATTTTTTTTTAATATTAGCTAATTAAAAGACTTAACAGAAACAGAATGAGCAAAACAAACAGAAAGCAAGTAAAAATTAAGAGAAGAGAACAACCTTTGTTACTTACTCAATTGGAACTAGAACAACTGAAGCTTTCAAGTTTGCTCCTGCTTTTCCCCCTTTTGGCATTATCAAAAACCTGACTTTTCAAAGTTTTATTCATCTAATCACAGCCCTACAGGCAATTCATCGAATGTGGGAAGCTGGAAGCAGCGCTGGCTAGCTCTCTTAAGCTAGTACTTTCACACAAAATACCTTGTTTTATTTTTAACAAGCAATGCATGCATGTACAGACAAAGTTCCAGAATTTAAACTTAAAAGCATGGAAACCATCCAGAAAAGTTAAAGTTATTACAGACCAAGTTCCAAATAACGAAAACAACCAAGTTCCAAAATCAAACAAAGTTCAAAAACATCCAAAGAAAACAGATCATTGTTCCAAAAACCAACAGAAAATAGATTAAGCTAAGGGATGGCTGGGATAGGTTGCAAAGGTGATCAGACATCAAGCGCTTTCAAGATTTGCTCAAGTTCTGCCTTGTTGTCTTCTTGAGCTTTCTTCAGTCGTGCTTCAAGGCTTGAGATGGCTTTCTGGAACTCCTTAACTTGAGAGGCATTGGTCCTCTCCATTGTCTTCATCTTTCCTGCCATGTCAAGGAGCTGTCCTTCAACCTGCATAAGTCTGTTAGACAGATCATTAATTATCTCATCAGCTCCTCCATCTCCCTCACTTAACTCCAAAGGATCATTTGCACTTGTTCTGGCTTGAGTTCCAACTGAGAGCCTTCTGCTCTTCCTAACAGGGCCTCTTAGCTGGGACTCCTCTTCCTTCCCTTTCTTCTTCTGCGCTTCATACTTCACACACTTCCCCCTCACAACAGCAAGGCTCAATCCTCTCAGAGTAGTTTCATTTATCACATTTTCTCCTTTCTCCCTCATATGCCCATAAAATTCCTTCAATTTCACATCCAAATCTTCAAACACAGAAGCAAGAATTGCAGCATATCCAATTTTTAATTCTTTTTCTTTACAGTGCTCTAAGTGTTGGAGCATGATTGCTGGGAAATTTATTTTAATTCTTTTGGACATGCAATAGATTAAGGCCATATCTAAGTAACACAATTCATTTTTCTTTTGTGTCCTTGGAACCAAGGACTTTTTCACCAAATTAAATAACAGTTTGTGCAATGGAGAAAGATCATTGTGATTCATGACACTTACTCCCTTCCTACCACCCAAGTAATTAACAATTTCAGTCTTAGTATGCCCTGCCACCTTCACAGTTACAACTCCTTTCATATAAGTATCAAACCCCTCACAAGGAACTTGAAGCAGAGTTCCTAGTCTAGCAGCATCAAACTCAATCTCAATACCATTCACTTTGCTATAACACACACCATCTTCAAATTCACATTCCTTAACAAATTCATCCATAGCCAGAGGATACAAATAATTTTTTGCTTTTACAGTAAACATAAAATCCCAACCCTGAAACTTAAGAAGATCTAGAAATTCGAAATTCACCATTATACACCATGCATCATCTATTCTATACCCTACAACATACCTGTCAGCTTGACTTTTCAAGGCTTTGTCATCTTCTTCCCCTTTAGAATCATTCTTTCCCTCTTCAGGTTCGTCCTCTATTGCTTCAATTTCATGACTTTGCTCCTCATTGATTTCTCCGATTTTTCTGCTTTTCTTTTCTTCCATTGAGCAATTCGATCGAGGAAATTTGGTAGGCTTGTTGCCGAAGAGGTAGAAGTTTCTTCAACAGCTTTTGGCTTAGTATTTTTGGGTTCTGATGAGGTGTGGAGTAATTCAACAGGAGGTTCCAAGGTAATAGGTTGTGGGCTAGAAGATTTGGTAGGTGAGTTTTCGTTGTGGTTCTTAGGGTTTTGGTTTTCGTCTTCCATGGTTAGTGATGGTTTAGCTGTAAAAATTGATTTTTGTGGTTGAGAGAGAGTTTGAGGGTTAATGTGATTTGACACAAGTGGTTGGAAGAGTATTTATAATGAGGGTAATTTTATGAGGCGGTGCTTGGAAGGTGAAGAGATAGATTTTAGGAACAATGTATTTACTTTGATTTCAAAACAAGAGTTATCCGGATGGATTTTCAAATTCAATGTTTATCCTTTCAAAAATTTAATTTTTTAGAAAGATAAAATTTTGAAAACAAAAATTTCATAAAATACATCTAGGAACGTGTCATATACAAGTCTACATTAACTTGAGAATTATTTACAGAGTCTTAAGTGTTAATTATACTAACCTTCAAGAATTTACCAACGGTGACATTCCCGTTATGTTTATCACACCAAGTTTGTGATAGATGTTTTATTTCTTCTAGTTGGTTCAATAATTGACAATGCCATATCTAGGAACTTCAGTTGCAATCAATTCAGCTTGATCATCCCAAGTTCCAGTCTCATGTTCTCAAAGCGTTCTCTGCTCAAAGGCTTAGTTAGAATGTCAGCAATTTGATTATCAGTAGGACAAAATTCCAACTTAATATAGCCTTTTTCCACATTATCTTTTAAGAAGTGATGTCTAATGTGGATATTCTTAACCTTAGAATGTCGCATTGGATCTTTAGAAATACAGATAGCACTAGTATTGTCACAATAAATTGGAACGCATTCAAATTTT